ACTGCTGGTTTGTATTTATTCGTTTTGGTGCGAACTTAGTACATACAAAAAATTGCCATCTTAAGCAAATCGATGTAACGAAACCATAGCTTGCTTTTAATTGCGGCAACGCCATCTAGTTATGAAAATTGAACTAAATTAATGAATATGCATTTTATGGTTTCGTTACTTTGGTCTTGAGTTTTGGTCATGAACAGACAATAACTAAATGTTTAAGGTTTTAAGCTACGTGTTTAAATAAACGTATATTTTATCTCGAATTTATTTGTTTTATTTTAATAGTGGGCAGCATCATTGAATACTCCTCCCGCACTGGGTGAGGTAAGGTAGAAGGGAGTGTCAGGCTCTCCTTGACTAAGAACCGTAAAATGGGGTGAATAGGGACAGAAGAGGAAATTCTTCATAGTATCGATTCACCCCCCTTCTGGCCCTTTTCGCCGGTCAAACCCTATTCACCCCATTTTACCGAACCACCCCGTACCGACTCCTGCTTGCCGCCGGAGCCTCGGTCGGTTTACCTACCTAATTATCGGCTTACTTAAAATTTGTGTGTATGCAGGCCTACTCACCTCTATTATAGAGGTAAATGCGACATGCCACCGACAGCAGAGCCCAGACCGATCTAGGAATAGGTGTTATTTCAACAAATCGTTGCGTCACACAAGGATTACTTTCTATGTCGTGGACCATATCACTCGAAGAATTGTTGCGTTCAGTCGTAAAGAAATCTAACCCAGAAGACCCACCAAAGACTACTATAGTATACTGGCTAGACCCACAATACGTTGCACTTCAACCCGTTAACTAGCCATTGCGCTAACCGTGCAGTCAACAATTCTCATAAGTAAAACCATAAAACACATACAAAAGTTGAATTATATTTTTTTATAGGAATTTAACAGTTGAAGAAAGCAATTAAAAGGATTGTTCAAAAATTTGAAAAAAGTATTTATTTTTTTCTAAAAGCAAATATTCTAGAACGTTTACAACGAATGTTAGAACCCAAATATAAAAATTAACACGGAATAAATGATAAATAAGTACCTACTATGCTTAGCACACAGCATACAATACGAACCTTTTATGTACAAATCAATACCAAAAACTAAAAGTATGAATACATAGCGACGACTGTTCACATAATATTTAGCACCGCTGCTCGCGTGACGTGTGGTATGCTATAATATTAAACTGTACTAGCTAATTGGCTAAAAGAAAAACGTCGTATTTTCCTGCTAAATGCCTACAGTCGACAAGCAGCCTTAGTGCGCGAGTGTTACCTTATCAGACGCGATAACGTAGTGAAAAATATTTCAGTTGTGTATCGAGAACGCTTGTGGAAAGTTCGTTTCGTGGATTTTGTGTTCAAAATGACGAGAAACAATTTAGAAGTTGGAATGAGGTGCATCAAATATATGCTGTTGTGTATAACGGCCATATTTGTGGTGAGTTTTATTTTTATTTAAATGGCGGTTTCGTTTTTTTTTTCTGGGTGTAAATTGCGCCATATTATATGCGCAAGGTCTTGTTATCTACCTACCGATGACAACTCTTGTTGTCGATGATATTAGGTATGTATCTAGATACCTGAGTCTGTGTTGTTTTTTTTTTATATCGATAAAGGGTCACATTCATATTGATAGTGTTTTTATTGAGTTATCGTCTATTTGTTATTTTAATAGCGAAACATGTTCATGTTTTTATTTTTAATTTTATTATTTGAATTAAATTAACAGAAATCTTTAGGTGGAGATCTACATTAGCTTGTACCTAAACAGTACCTACCTATCTACATTCTTCATATTTTCTTATTAAATAAGCACAATTAATCTCAGTACCTATATCAATTATAGCAAATAGGCATGTACAATTTAACAATGATAACTAAAGTGTTACAAATTACCAGCAAATGATAAGGATGAAGGCTAATCAACGTCTGTGCTTACCTGTTTTACTAATAGAGGCGATAAGTCAAGTATCTGCATACAATGTTGCCAGCGATACGTTTAAGCGGCTTATCTGCAAGGCTGGCAACATTTTTAAGGCATCTTTTGAATTTCGAATATCGATTGCACGGAGTAAACTGCCATGTTGCCAAGCTTATAACGACACTAGTAGGCATGCATTATGAGTATGACATACATATTTAAGTACATACGTACCTGCATACATAGGTACGCCTGTCTCCCATGGGGGTAAGCAGACCTGTCTCTCATGGAACGCCAATGGCTACGATTCTTATGACGTCTTATTAACTACTAGCGACCCGCCCCGGCTTCGCACGGGTGCAATGCAAAATATACCTACTACAGAATGTCCTTATACACAACGTTCACAGCTTTTTTGTCATTAGCCAATACAAACATGTTTTGCTTAGACGTTACTCTTGACAGCGCGACATATAATTGGCCATGTGAAAAACACTCAACACTCAAGTCTAATCCTGCAACGTTAAAAGTTTGACCCTGCGATTTATTAATGGTCATTGCAAAAGATATCTTTACCGGAAATTGTAGGCGTTTAAATTAGAACGGTAAATCTGATGGTATCAGAGGAATTCGGGGCTTCCAAGAAATATGGTTTTAAGGTAATCCTATCTAACCTAATGTACTTTCAATACTATTAATATAATAATAATAATAAAAATTAAAAGATAATCAACAACAAAAGATACTTATTCTATTCAGTTTAATTAATTCTTGATATTCTCCTCGCTAGAGAGCTCCGATAAACGCGTGCGATCGCTGCAAATCATAAAGTACTATAAGGCGAAGCGCGGCCATCGAAGCGCTATTTATAGGCACGCGCCGCCCGGCGCAAACAACTACGACCCTGCATTTTAAATTTGTAATATCTTCGGTAATATTCACTTAAATTACATGCTTTAAAAAGCATATTGATCTATAATAAATGCACAATTTATTTAAGGTACTTAATTGGATAAGGATTAATGCTGTATTGTTTAAAATCACTTCGTAAATAACCATTTTTTAGTAAAGAATAAAAATGGTTATGCTGGGTTATCCCTAAGAGATAGACATATACCATCGCGGACTTTTTTGTTGAACTTTTTAAGGTGAACAATACTGTAGTATATTATTTTGGTCTATCTCGTAGGGTTCAGCCAGCGTTTGCAATATAAGCGCAAAAAAACGTGCTTATTTACGACATCACATTAGAAACCTTTAAATTTATCAGTGTTTCTCTACTATATTATGCATTTATTATACATACAAACCTTCCTTAAGAATCACTCTATCTATTAAAAAAAACCGCATCAAAATCCGTTGCGTAGTTTTAAAGATCTAAGCATACATACGGACATACAGCGAAAGCGACTTTGTTTTATATTATGTATTGATTGATAAACTTATATAATATTATTATCTTCTTACGTTTGTGGAGTAAGCAGAGGTGCATGCACGTGCACATATTAAATAATATCATTTCACCACAGCCTCCACTCAGTCCACTGTACACCGGTTATGTTACAACAAGTGACGTCAGGATGTTTTGTACAGTTTGATTTCTAGTTGCTAAGTTTAATTCCAAAAAATACCTATGACCAGACTTCCGGATGTAGGTAATATGACATCCCGAGACACGGAAACTGCATTACGTACGCAGTTCTTTGCACATACAGCCACTCAATCTATAAATAAGGAGTCTACTTTATTTGGGCGTCCACTGTACTCAAATTTATTTAATAGAATTCCAATTTTATTTATTTATTAGTTTATTATGTAAGTAGGTACACAACACACACAGAAAAAATATAACAAAACAAAGGTACATAGATACTGTATATCCCTTATGGGATTCCTTCCTATCCCTACTGCATGTCGCGGAGAACCTAACGGGTTACCGGGGGTTCCGGCTCGAAGCGCAGAAGAAGGAACGGGGTGGTTTTTAGTCAGTAAGAGTCTGACACTTCCTCACGCCTCACCCAGGCGGGAGCAGTCATTCGATGATTTTCCCCCCTTAAAAAAATCCCTGCTGCATATCACTTAGTGTTCCTCTATTTAGTTTTTAGAGTTGAAAATCCAAAAAACTAAATATTAACATTATAGATATTACAAATAATGGAAACTAAAAAATGAGTCAATTTCATAAGTTTAAGTCATAATTTGATGAAATTCATCGTTATCAGGTGTAAACGCTCTATTGATGACAAATACCATCAAAGATAACGTGAATAGGTACTTACGTGTGTCTCTCGAATGAAAATGTCATTTAACAATTAATATTTCATTGCTTTATGGAACTTAAACGACCAATGTTTTAGATTCAAAACAGGTACAGTTTTGTGAAATTATGAATGGTGTATGGCAATACGCTCACATTATCTTACATGAGACCCACAGTGTGTTATATTAGCTACGTATTCAAGAGACTACAATTAAAAGTGGATATAAACAAACCACTACATGCAAACCACCTTGCCCGGCAGTCGCACTTGCGACCACACGGCCAATGAGGCAGTTTAATAGTATAATAATATAGATATAATAAAGATTAAACTCTCAAACACCAAGCGGTCACCGGTGACCGCAACCTATTGTTCTATAATTGTGTCTACAAAACCGGTACTCGACGAGTTAATATTTATTTCTGTCGTAAAATTCGTTATAGAGATAAACTATGATACATGTTTCTAAAATTTTAAATTGTAGCTTTCCTACGTCATAGATACAGTCGTGAGCAAAACGCTGGTTAGTAGAGATGACGTTAAAGAGTTTACAGGCCTCCAAATTGATGACCTTGAGTTCACGGTGTGAGTGCGACACCGCAATAACGACGCGTCAGTGTTTCTCTCCAAAAGGATTTTGTTTCCAACCGGCAGTTTGTAGTGATATAATTACATTGTTTAACACTGAATAATGTAATTAGGTATCCATTTCTATGATACAAGTGATTATTAGTCCATGATACAACCTGTTTTTCATTTCACATTGAATATACCATAACGATGTTGTACAGTCAGTGTCAAATGAAATAGTGTAACTTAGGGTAACTCAACTATGTTGTCCAAAAGTGCAAAGACCTTTTATAGATATAAAAAAAAAATCTAATGGGAACGGGAGAAAACGGGATTGCGCGTACGAAGTTGCGGGCAGAAGCTATAAATATTTATTAAGTTCTTAAAAGTTTAGTTTCCAAATTGGTTCAGTGAAAGCTCTTATAACTTATTTTTCAGTCATGTAAGTAGGTCGTCTTTATAAGTAGTTTTACTTCCATGTAAGTAAGTAGGTACTATCTCTTCGATTTCCTGTCGAGAAAATAACTTTCAATACACGATAAGTGTTTTGTGTGCTGTGACGTCATAATAACACACGCAAACAGGCTAATGTTTACTATCCACTTACTGGATTAAGTAAATCCCTATAACTAATAATATATATAATGTAGACACATAGGTTATACATAATGGTGTGACATGGTAGCAACTTATTAGTAAAGGTTTCGACGGGTTATGTAATAATATGTCTTATAATTTTTTATTCGAAACGGGGTTTGATGTGGGTGAAAAACTATATTCTAATACTTACTTAGATATGTAGAAATGTATGGTTCATAAAATTTAAAAGAGACTAACGAGCATGAAACCTCATGCTAGAAAGTTTTTATACATGGAGCCTGATTTAGGTAACTGGGAAAAGTTAAACTATATAATACATATTACTAATAACAAAACCGGTTAATTGTTATCACATACTGTGAACATAAAACTACTACCATTGAAAAACAAAAGGTCGCGAAGCCGTGATAGTACTTACAATAATTCCTCGCCTATTATTGCGACCAAAGGACCATGTTTACTTATATTTCAATGGCTGTGCAATAAAAACAATGACTAGTCTACGATATTGTTTTCTTCTATATTTCAACCGTTCAACGTGAACGAAATTTAGTCATAGTTCATTGTTCATGATAGTATTTTATTTCTAGAAAATTCTATTGCAATACCTTAATATGGCTGAGGTGCCGCGGAGAAGTGCAGGAGTAGGAACGGGGTGGTTTTTAGTCAGTTATAGTCTGACACTCCCTTCCGCCTCACCCAGGCGGGAGAAGTCATTAGATGATTTTCACCCCTTAAAAGCAAATATGGCTGAGGTCTAAGGAGAAACCTTTGTTCAGCGGGAGACGTCTTCTGGTTCCTGCTGATGATGTTGATCTAACAAAAAATCCACCCCGTGTTTTCTTCTTTTTCTTGTCTTTTTAATGACCTCTTGGCAACATCTAATATCTTCCGATTTGTCTTCTTGAGCATAATTTGACGTTTTATATCGAAGAGGTAATTTGGTCATAGTTTTATAGACGAAAGAGAGGAACAGAGAAATAGAGAGAGATATATTACATTGATGTGATAAATGATCGTGCTATAAATACGAGTGCAAACTCTTAACCCGTTGAAAATTGTTGAAAATCATCCCCTAAATTTGTTCATACACAAGTAGTCTTTAAACATTGTAAATAAGGTCTAATGTAATTAGTGAAAAGCAGTCACCGGTGACCGCTTGGGGATATACGTTCGTGGCGATATATGTTCATAAAATAATATGTTTACGAATGAAACAGAGAGCTAGCGGCAGCACCGTCGTTTATTGTCCATTGCAAAAAGTCCGAGTGCCCTAAAATTGTGTGAGTTATGTGTGATTAATCCTTCCTTAATTGATAATTTGTTTGCCAAAGACGCAGAAATATATTTTTGGTTAATTTCTATTGTAAAAAATATTGTGATAGATAAGAAATTAAGAAAGATAAGATAGGATGGTGGAACAATGGACATTTTAGTATTATTGATATTCCTATTGATATGGATTCTGATCTGTTCTACTTTTATATATCTTGACACTATTCTGAAGATGTTATCGACCTGTCTCGATTGATATGTTATGTACCTATTAACTTCAAATATTTACTTTAAAATAGCGGTATAAGTCATAAAAACTAACGAAGCGGAGAAGGCATGATTTTGCTTGATGACTTCATCAAAATAGCTTAAATTGTTTCAGTATTTATAAGGAAAGCTATACATGTCCAATTATATGATATATTTGAGACAACAATTAACAAAAAATAGGAAATATGAATACATTGATAAACTGACAAAACAACAACTCTTAACTTAGAGGTATAGAATTGTATCGACCGGACACAGAAATATCAATTCAATTATAAATGCTAATTGTACATTGGCGTTCCAGCATTTTCCAATAGTTTTTTTTTATTTACGAAAGTGAAAAGAGAAGGAGATTTGTTACATGTGTATGTTTTATTTAGGCAAATGAATTAAAATGTTACGTTTGACAGGAGAATTGAAAAAAGAACTAATTTTATACTAACCCAAAAAACTGTTAAGGAGTGAAAGAGACAAAATTACACTTTTTTCCTTCTATGTGACCATTGATCATAGATTATTCTTCGCTAACATTTTAATTGTTCAGCAACAAAACTGACTGCCGAGGTCATCCTCTTATTGTTTCCCGCCGTTTATCTTTAATTGATTCCCAACTATTTATAGATATGTATATCGATCTAGGCGGACGTGAAACAATATCTGTGCTACAATACGATAATCATCTTTAACAGGTTCGTGTTAAAGATCATTTTTGTATGACAATTTCTTGTGTCGTCGTTTAGTAGAGTATTGAAATCATCAGTAGTAAAATACAATTGCTATATAGTAGCTATAGCATGGTTTCTGTTGTTAGGAGTCACGTTTCGAATACAATACTAAACGTTTAACTTGAAGAAAACTTCTATTTTTCATTGGCTCGCTGTTTGCGTCACGTTTTGTTCTTGTCCATTTTTTTAAATATTTATGTCTGTATGTAAAGTGATTTTGGACTAAAGTGGTTTTCAGTAATAACAACAAATTACCTTAACAATGAATATTTGAAGTACAGGTTTATTTATACCTGGCTTACCTCTAGATCGAGCAAATTAGTTAATCGTTTGAAGACTGTAGGTACCTAGCAAATCTAGAAATCATTCTTTTAATGGTCTCTTCTCAGAGAATAGGAGAATAGAGAATAAGTTGTCTAGGAAATATGTAGACAACGTATAGGTTGCAATAATAACAACCTGGCGAGATGTTGGCTGAACGCAACCCTATCAAAATATAACAATCCATCTATATCTATAAAGGACGAAGTCTTAATCTAAAGGCGCTAATATTAAACCTCGGCTTACCTAAAATCTATGTACTTAAAAAATAAAAAAGATTAAAATAAACATTTTATTATAATATTTTGATCTGCAATTATACCGACCTCTGAACCAACTTCAGTGGTTGGTCACGACTCCTCGTATCGATTTTCAGCAGCCATTTTAATATGTCAAGGTTAAGTCTATGGTCACTTGGCCGGCATTATTTATTCAATCCAATTATATGAATTATAGCTAGCTGTGTGCACTTCACATATGTTTCATAATTATGACCATAACTGGGTTTAAAAAGGTTTTTCTATGACAGGTATGTGATACCTAAAATTAATTGTGACTAGGTCCTAGGAAGATATAGGTTTAAACTTCCGTTGTACGTTCTAGTCTAGAATTTCTTGACTCGAAATATTAACTTATTGTTAAGAAGATATTAACGGGTCCGACTCCCAGGTCGGACAAAGTACTACAGGGTTTTAAAAAATGCTCAGCGGTAGCACGGAGTCTCGAATCGTGGCCGGTATATATGACAATAGACTCACCCCCTATTACATGGGACACATAACATAAATAGCGATAAGTAGGTGTTACATTGCACGTTGGCATTAAGTGCCGTAATGTGCACTTCTGCATACCCCTACGGGGGTAAAAGGCGTGATATTATGTAAGATAATAACCCACCCAAAAAGCAGTAGTCCTTTCTCCATTCACACGATAAAATTATTATACATTGTACAACTATTAAACATGGGTGTCTCATACCATACAGAAAGCTTACCTAGGTTGTTAAGATTCGATATTTCCAATGATAAAGAAACTCTTATAGTCTTATCACATGATATCTATGAATCATGAATGGTTGGTCAATGTATGTTTGTTATGTGTGAGTCGGTCTAATAGTCGGAATGTCGGAGTATTGCGTTTCTTTACTTCGAGCCTGTTCTCGAAAAAAATAGATTGCTTTATAGCCTTTGTTGACGTTTCAAAAGTACCAAATTATGGTTTAATTGAAATAAATGCTTTGACTTTACCTTTGCCTTTATAATTATGTGTGTGTCATATTACTGGCTGGAATTGAAATGAAAACAACAAGAAAACCACGAATACACATTTAGGTACATAGACCATTTCCAACACTTAGAGGCAATGAATGTGGACGTAGGTGTTCTTATTTATCACTGCGAGAACCGCCCGGAGGACACGGTGGAGCATACAGTGGCGGTGTGCCCTTAACACCGCCGCGTCCTCAGGGATGTGATCGGCGACGGCGACCTCTCGCGTCTGGCCCTGCAGACCATAGTACGGAGCAAAGGGGACTGCCTCTTCCTGCTGCGAAGCAGCCACGTTAGCTAAGGAGGAGGCGGGGCGCGTGAGGGAACGAGAGACCCGGGAGGGAGACAAATCACTGGATGATTTTCCCCCTCAAAAAAAAGGGTGTTCTTATTTTTCTTGTTTCTACAGTCAAAGGTTTAGGTCCTAAACGTTTTACCTACAATTTAGGCATCCCGCAATACATCGATCTTAATCTCAAATAGATAGAAAATAATGAAATTACTTCTTGTCAATCCTAAATGTCCTCTTCTCATTTTTCCAGCTAACATCAGCGCTAATAATCTCCGTGGGTACTACCATCTACGCGATCTACCACGATGTGTCCTTCTTCCTGGAAGACAGGTTCTTCTCTCCAGCCAGCTTCGTCATCGCCATCGGTATCATCATGCTGTTCGTCTCACTCTTCGGATGTATCGGCGCACTGAAGGAGAGCACCTGCTTGGTCAATATTGTAAGTTGCAGTGCCTTCTTTAGATTTTTTTCATATAACCTTTTATCTGTTGAATCTCCCGTTATCTCCCGGTATAAAACACATTATACCCGCAAGCCCGCAACTGTCAACAGACAAGAGGATAATCGAGTATGAGGTCTTTTGGAAGATAGGGATGTTTGCATATGCATAGTTATGAATAACTAGCAAACCCGGCGAACTCAATTTCGCCACCAGATGGCTTCATTTTATGTAACTTTTCGTTTGGTGATTAAATGTGAATTTTCTTTGCTATAAACCTCACGGAGCTTGAGACCTTTCCAACGAATGCAAAACCGTGGAAATGGGTTCGTGCGTTCTGGAGTTATAGCGTCAGGAAGGAAAACTCGACTTATTTTTATATAGTAGATGAGAGGATTGATGATAGACAGAGATTGCGTAGAGAAAGCCATACGTAACGCTATGAGAAATATAAATAAAAATTTTGATTAGCCTTGATATATTTTTATGATTAGATGGCATAATATGGCAACAATAATGTATTTTAACCGTGATATTGATTTTAGTTACAGTCATTGTTTAAAATTATGTTACGGATTATTTTTTAAATAACGAAACTGACATGGGTTTCTCTTGAAGTGCTGACAATAAACCCGAAGATTTTGCTTTGTTTTAGTAGACTCATCACTACAACTGACAACTACCTTTATTTAGGAAAATATACACACACAAATAATTATGTCCTTGTTATATTATTTAAGGAAAATATAAAGTAAATCGTTCGGACGCTCGAAATGTATCCGTTTAGGTACTTCTATACTTAGCGACTTTATAGCCATACACCATACATCGATGCACTTATTAGCAAAATTTTAAAAATCAAAAACTACATTAAAGAAAATTATTACTAAATCTCTATTTTCCTCAGTTTGCAGTCATCCTCAGTCTGGTGTTCGTCCTGGAGATCGCAGCTGCTATTGCAGCGTACAGCCTCCGGTCGCAGGTGACAGGTATGCTGGACGAGAACCTGAGGACCACACTGCCTTACTACTATTACAACGAGGAAGTCCGAGGGTCTTACGACTTCATTCAGAGCAGGGTAAGTAATTTATTACGGCCAGTGGTGGATTAAGCTTGTGTGAGGCTCGTAGCAAATTTGATAGGGGAGCTATGTCTCATCAACATTGTTATTTGGTAACAGCAAATATAAAGAGCAAATAGCTACACTTTTAATTTTTTTTATTGACGTTCAAAATTGCCTCTGTGGTCTAATTGAAATAAATGTATTTGACTTTGAACATTTGTGACATGACGCCTGATTCTGTGGACTTTCTGTGGACGACAGTGTCCACAGAAAATATACATCATCTATATTAATGCCATGTGTCGAAATAATGAGAATTTCAAATTCAAATTCAAATTCAAACATCTTTTTTGCCTCATTAATATTTCTTTCAATAAAGTATCAGTGTCGTTAGAAATTGAAGGGAGAGTAGGACAGCACAAGGGTACACTGAACACCATACAAGTGCGTGCTGAATCGTCAAATGTTTTCTTTCCCAATGAACATACACATAGTTATCTTGTGAATTCTTCCGTGAATTTATCATCAAAGTAAACACAGCATTTTCTTTATGAGTTCTTTGACAAACGAAAGAGTCTAGGTTTGTCTTGATTTGATTTTTTTTATGTATTTAGAACGTAACTTACATATGAACATAACTTACATATGTATATTCAATGAACGCGTGCGTTATCTGAACAAGAGGTGGTGTATTGACACTAGTCAATACATTTAATTAAGCATTGAGTATTAACCATCTTCCTCTCCATTTCACAGCTGAGCTGCTGCGGAGTAGACAGCTACGCTGACTGGAGCGTAGTGACCCCTCCACCTGGAGTTTCAACCATCTCCACCAACAACGTCACCGTCCCCAACTCCTGCTGTGCCGAGGCCCATTTCGACATCGTTGACGGCATTGAGGTCGATGTCTGCACAAAGGTCTACAGCAACGGCTGCCTTCCCAGAATGTTCTACTTGATCTACCAGAGCGCTGGTCTTTTGGGCGCTGGAGCCATGACCATAGCTTTCATTCAGGTTAGTTTTTAACTGGGTAAATAGATCTCTTTTATCTTATTCTATCAAGATTCTCTATTGAAGGAGCACTAGGTAGCCTTGCCAGGATAGTTCGGATTTGTAAATTGGGTTGATGACTGGAATGAAATTAAATTAGTATGACACAACGTATAACAGTATTTACCGTTTAACAAAGTATATTAATCATGTTAGCGCTTGTTTCGGTACTTATGACGTTATTTTTCCATGAATATCGATTATATACAGTACTTTGTTTGATATCTACACCAGAAATCCAGTGCGAAATTGGCTTATCACCATAAATATTTATGTTTATCTTATCGAATTTCAGATTATTGGCATTGTGTTTTCGTTCTCACTGGCCAGTTCCATCCGCAAGGCAAAATCCGAACGCGAACGCAGACGTTGGGAAATTCAAGAACGTATGATCAACGCGTACACCTCGCTCAACCCCAGCGATGAGAAAAAAGCACCCGTTGTCTATGTCCCATTCCATGGACAAACTACCGCTTAAGAGGCTGTAGAAGTGTTACCTTGTCCTGATCCTACAAATATTTAATAATAAACTTTCTAAATTTCGCGCCCTAATTGCGTAATGCTCTTGAAATGTTATTGGACTGTGATGTGAGTCACTTTGAAATATTTTTTATCTCTATTTATAATATTTGGCGTTTGGAATGCACAGTTGTTATAAAAACACAGTATTTCAAGTTTACACAATTAGGACGCAATAAATTGTGATAAGTACTTAAAAGTTTTATGTGATAAAGTCGACGTAGTGTAAGCACGAATATTTGTATGTTCAGGAATTTTGTTATTGTAGGAAAAATCACCGTAATTAAATATTTTTCTATAAGTAGATGAGCAAGAAATACGCCATTAGACATTCGGCGCGAACGCATATCGATTTGTGAATAGGAAAAAAAAACGACCTACTTAAAAAGCAGTAGAGATTTAAGTAATTTTTCTAATTATTAGGTACATACTATAACTATATCTTCATAATTTAAATTAATCACACATTCCAAACAATATTATTAGCTTTTATATTATAGCTACTGAGTACCTAACTATTGTTATTTGCCACTAAAACTTATTTTCCTCCGAACTCCCATTGTTTGCCATTTAATAAATCTGTACCTACGCTACTTAATTATTTTATAGAGGTTCTAAATAATAATATATTTTCACTATATTAACTTAAGTATTATAAAGAGTATTGTAAAGAAATATTTTTATTTATACAATATTTTTGTGTTTTTTATTTTGTACCAAATGTTGCTTGTGTCAATTTTTTTTATGGGATAAGCCGGTATCCTAGCGGACAGATCACCTGATGGTAAGCAATTGGTGTTCACATGGATACCTGAAACATCAGAGGCGTTACAAGTGCATTACCGGCCTTTCGGGGATTAGTTATTAGAGGAAAGTTGGGGATTCAGGGATTGGGGAGATTGGTGGATTAGTAGTTGGGCCTCCGGTAACCTCACTCATACGACGAAACACAATGCAAGCGTTGTTTCACGTCGGTTTTCTGTGACGCGGTGGTATCATTCCGGTCGAGAGGGCCATTCGTGCTGAAGCATGGCTCTCCCACACTTAAAATTATCTAGAACATACCACAGAACACAAAGGAAAAAGTTTTGAATGAGTTATACTTCTAAATAGCGCCAAAACTTAAACACTAACAGTGCGATTGGTTTACTAAGGATTTTAAGATAGAGGGATTGTATTTGAAATGAAGTTATCTGATAGAGAACAATGTTATCCCAAAAGCAAATGATGTGCTTATTGGAGAGGACTAAACAATAATGTCCAGCGGTGAAAGAAAACAGAAGTATACATTTTATTTTTATAAACAATTGCTATTTGGTATCTTAGGATCCATAGACGATGACTGAAATTTTTGCTATTTTTGAAATTTGGGTTATCCCAATGAGAAATCTTTTTCAGTGTTTTTTTTAGGGGCAAAATCATCCAATGCCCCCATCCACCTTAGGTTAGGCGAAAGGGAGTGTCACTCTTTCTGACTAAAAGCCACCCCGTTTCTACTCCTGCTCTTCGAGCCGGAGGCCCGGCAACCCGTTAGGCCTTCCGCGGATCCGTATCGGGCATTAGCCCAACTGGGCCCCAGCTGTGGTGGATCTTTTTCAGCTTGCCTCGCAAATAAACACTTAATTGTCAGTACCTATGTAGCATATAATAAAATCGTAAAAAAGGCAAATGTACATTGAATACTTTTTTAAATATTACTTCTAGCGTGATCTAACTACAATCGATATAGAAGTCAAAAGAAGTTATTAGAATTTTTGTGTTTATCTGTATGTATGTCCGGCCTAAACTCAAAAAGTACGGCATGGATTTCCTTACAATTTCGCATAAATGTTACTAACAAATCGGATCAACATATAGGCTACATATTATCACGCTATCACTTACGGGGCCTAGCTGAAGTCACTATTACACTCAGACGAAGTCGCGGGTACAGCTAGTTTTCAATAACACGTATTCATAACACGTATTATTGATAAATTAAATCCGAGATTTTATATTCTATGGTTTATCTTGGCAAATTCAACATCATAAATTAATAAAAAAAAAATGATAACAATCTAAAAACAAACGTATTAAAAATTATGCAAAATATTCAAATAAGTATATTGTAGTTTTGCAAAATGTATTGTGGCTATTCTGATATCACAGCGAAACGTGATAAGGCTTGTGATCTTATCATTATAAGCGCTTGGCTAGGTGTTATCATCCTGTACATAAATATACAACACAACTAGGAAGGTTTATTTACTATGTACTTGTACCTATGTCCTTTTTCTGTATGTATAGAAGGTAAAGTATATTAAAGATAGAAATCATTCGAGATTAGCACGTAAGTCTGATTGGTGACCACAGCAATGAATTAAATCAAAACTGAAACATAGCTCCATCATTCTTTGATGATTTTCTTACTATAAGGCCGTATAATGTCCACCCAAATACAGTGAAATACCCAATTACCTAGGTTATTTTGTAATTTTTAATTATAAAGATCGAACTCATTCGCGGTCTGCCATATCATTGGTTAGGAGAATAACCTCGACCAATGACATGAAGGGCGAGGATACGGTCGAGCTGACATCGAAAGTTAGAATTGATATCCTACAGACCTACAGAATAGCCGAGCAGATATTTACCAGCAGCGAGCAGGCATTTTTTTTTTTTTTTTTTTTTTTTTTTTTTTTTTTTAAATCGTTGCCCCACACTAGGATTTTCTCCTGTGTCGTGGGTGCGTTTACAAACATTCAAGTTCACATACACAATGACACCCAGACCCGGAACAACAATTTGCGGATCACACAAAGTGTTGTCCCGTGCGGGAATCGAACCCGCGACACGTTGCACGGCAGCCGGTTGCCCAGCCACCGCACCAACCGTGCAGTCAAATATTGCAAAAAACAATTCTGTCTGGAATTCAGAGCTCAGCAGTCATACTTGCAAATACAAAATTAAGTTATTTGGGGAAAAAGCTAATCATTTAACAGTCCATTTCACTAATACACCTTCTAATACCTAGCTGACGCAATTTTGACTGAAACATTATCATATTTCCATTTATTGGTAACCTATACAGACCCGTTTGAGAAATAAAAAGCATATTATTTCGTGTGGCTTACTTTAATTTGTAAACTATTTTAATGCTGCATCGGAAACCGCTCGATGCAAAGCTAATCACAACTGCCTTAGGCCATGGCTAAGACATTAATATTTCAGACTCTGATTGACTGAAGGTTAGTGCGCCATTCAGGCTCGAGGAAAATCAATAACAAAATAAAAGCCATCAGTATATTACAGACAGTATGTTACACTAGTCGTGACGTTTATCCTTCTATAAATCTATATATATAAACAAACAAAGAAAATATAATAAATTTCATATTCATACACACAAGTAAACAGAATTAGGTGCAGATTGGTGAAGATAATAATCAAAGTCCAACGGATTTGAGGGTGCATTGGTAATTGATAATGGAAAGAACAAAAACATCGAAGCAAAAGAAAAACGTTGTAAGTAAAAACAATTTCATTGCATTTAGAGCTTTTATTCAAGCTCCATTAGGTTTCATGTGGAATTTTCAATATAATTTGTCTTAATCAGTACACCGACTGTTGGAAAACACACAGTGCTCATGAATGTGTGTTAAACAACGTTATCAGATGCCACTTTAGTTATCAGAAGGTACTGATCTAAGTAACCGTTCGGTCGTTGTTTTAGCTATTCAGTTTTTTTGGTACCGGAACGATGAGGATTTTCAAAATAAGGAGGGCGGCCCCCGTGGTTGTGAATACGGATGTGGACCGTGCCGTTAGAACGGAGACGGAATTCAACATGAGGTCCATCAGGTTCCTCCTGGTGATCATCACGGCTATGTTTGTGGTAAGTACAACATTTGACCTCTTAATAAACTACGCATACATATAAAATACACGGAGATTTATCTGATTTTTTTGATGTGTTCTAATAGTTTAATAAATTGATTATAAGTAGGATAAAAGCATACAATACATACAATATTTCATTATGTTGGAACAAAGGTTTGAACAATTGTGTAAGATGCATTTTTGTTAATTTTTGTTAATTAAAAACCAGATCGTTATTCAGATTTCATCAATTTTTTTATGTCCACAGAAAATATTTATTTTTATATGGTGATGGTCCGTTTGACCACTATCTCGCCTGGTGGTAAACGATGATGTGGTCTTTCCAATATTTACATTTGATATTAATTTTCCTCCCATCTCTATTAATTAACTCGTCGAGTACCGGTTTTGTAGATACAATTATAGAACAATAGGTTGCGGTCACCGGTGACCGCTTGGTGTTTGACAGTTTAATATATAAATAGGAATAGAAACGATTACTTTTCTTGTTCATTTCTGTGGACGTCCACGGTACTCATCAAGGGAATATAGTTAGAACTTAGGGCATTAAGTCAAATCTCTATAACCAGCATTATTTTGTAAAACACAAAGTTGCACTTAGTTACATGGCTTTCATTAGATAGGTGCGTTGCTCTCATATCATTGAATTTGCTTAAAAGTATATAGCCCTGAATTATACCACTACTAATTGAACAAAGGTAGCCATGGAATTTCGTGCTCGTTCTTCCGGCAGATTTAATTGTATATTTTCATAATTTAGTTGATTTAACCTTGAATAAAACAATAAACTCTAAATTCCAGGTGCTAGGAACTCTGATGATGGTGCTGGGTATATCGGTATACTCCCACTTCCATAGCTTCTCCACATTCTTTGAGACTGGGATGATCCGCATGACGCCATCCATCATGAGTGTGTTCGGTGGAGCGGTGCTACTGATTATATCCTTGCTCGGATTAATCGGCAGCTTGAGACTCAGCACTTGCTTGGTCAATCTGGTACGTATATTTAATCTAGGTATACTTAATCTTATCTTATACTTATTATACATACTTTACCACATCCTTATACTATTATAAATGGGAAAGTGAGTTTGTTTGTTTGTTCCGACTTCATGCCGTAACTACTAAACCGATTGCATTGAATTTTTGCAGACGTAAAGTTAGTAGTCTGGATTAAATAATAGGGTACTTTTTATCCCGAAAAAGTTTGATATTCCCGAGGCAAAACAAAAGTATTGGTATAGATGGCGCTATATTATGTATTGGTATATGTCACATAGACTACTTTTTATCCTTTTGTGACGCGAGCGAAGCCGCGGGTAAAAGCTAGTATGTACATAAAGCTGAGGAGTTTTTTTTGTTTAAACGTGCTATTTTCTGGAACTACTAGTCCGTTTTTTTAAAAACCCAGTAATACTTTGCCCTACCCGGGTATCGAACTCGAGACCCGGGCCGGTGCCCGGCAATCGCACTTGCGACAACTCAGCCAAAAAGGCAGTCGCTATAACTTTAGCGCAGATAGCTTTGACTATTACCTAAAACAATATTCTACAATATAAATTAATCAAAACCTTGTCTTTCTTTTCAGTATGCCTTCATCTTGATGCTGTTGTTCATTTTTCAATTAGCCATAGTAATAGTCTCTTTCAATGCGGCTGGAGATCATTTATACATGAATTATATTGACATTCCAGTTAATATGTACAGTGATCCTGAAATTCAACGAGAAATAGACATGCTGCAAAGTAGCGTAAGTATTAATTAACTATCCATTTCCTTTTTACTTTCTGATGGCTTCGTTTATGTAAACGGACATTCTTTGCTATAAAGCTCACGGAGCCAGAGACTTTTCCAACGAATGCAAAACCGTAGACATCGGTTCGTGCGTTCTGGAGTAGGAGAAGGAGGAGGAGGAAGGAGGGAGAGGATAGCGTCAGGAAGGAAAAACCCGACTCATTTTTATATAGTAGTGTATTTAAACACCAAACTTTAACCCAGTAGTTACCTACTTATTTCATGTGGCTATAAATAGTGCACTCATTGTTAAATCAGTCAGATCGGTTAGATCGGCTTGCCTTTAGGCTTAACTGCTTAAGTCATTCTGTCTCCTGCCAAGTCCTGTCTGTGTCAATTCACCGAAGGAAGTGGAAACTATCGTTTTTTCTTCTCCTCTTTTAATATCTTCTGATTTAGTTTTATTATAACTATCGTGAGACATGCTGAGTTAACTAAAATTTACGAGTTAATATCGTAAATATACTGAGGTAGGCTCTCGACGTCGCCGTGCTCACGAGGAAGAGTTCCTCTGTGACTCGAAACTAGTACAGCTTTACACAGTATATTTAAGTGAGTAACTCATAATTTTGAGTTAACCTTCTGATTTATTTCGATACGTGATCCAAGACATGTTCATGTCCCTGGGACGCGCCGGACTTCAGTGTTCCGGCGTTTTCATGTATGTACTGTAGATCCTGGCCTATAAAAGTTGTGGTACATTGAGGCGGATTAGTCCAATTAAAAAAAAGATCGATTAGATGAGAAATGGAACAAATATTCCTAAAGAGTAAACCGTAATTTTTTCTCAACTTTCTTCTTCAGTTGTTTTGCTGCGGCAGTTATTCCTTCGAAGACTATTTAAGTGTGACCTTTGGGCCATATCAACCAGTAGTTGTGGCAACTGTATTCCTTGCTGGAGAGTACGTCACCCTGACTTTGCCAGAATCCTGCTGTTTCTCCGTCGTCAATGGTCACTGTGATCGAGTACCACAGCGGGGATGCAAATCCGAACTATTCGGTGCTTTAGTACAGAATTCCACAGTTCTCGGTATCGTTGGAATATCTGTGATACTTATGACTGTGAGTATTTTTTTTATTAATCTATTATACACTTAAAGATACATGCATTTAACTTATTACTAACTTATTAAGCACCAAACAACTGTTCCACTGTTTGTTGGCGAACCTATAAGTTACTCATCGTAACATCGGCAGAGTAATCAAGTAATCAAGTATTTATTGCATCCATAATGTACACATACAGGTGGTTAGAAAAATACAAATAGTAACAATTATGGACCCTGTCGGGCACAGCAACTTTTTACTATGTTATCAGTCCCATGTAATAGGGGGTGAGCCTATTGTCATATACAGGGCACAACTCCAGAATCCGAGCTACTACCTACTAATCAGAATTTAAAAAGAAAATACCCAGTAATACTTTGCTCGATCCTGGAATTGAACCCGAGACCCCGTGCCCGGCAGTTGCACTTGCAATCTTTCGGCCACCGAGGCAATAAATGTGAATAAATAGAGTAGATATATCTAATAAGTTGATTGTAGTTATGTTTACAACAGAAATATAGTGTTAAAGATTTAGTGGCGTTTGAATAAGTATTTCAACATAAAACAATTATTGGTTTTAATTAATAACACGCCTTTTATCCCCGAAGGGGTAGGCAGAGGTGCACACAGAAGTAACACCCACTTTTCACTATTTATGTTATGAGTCCCATGTAATAGGGGATGAGTCTGAGGTCTTAATTAATATAATTCATAATTGACTCTTTATTAAACTGTCAAACACCGCGAGGACACCGGTGACCGCAACCTATTGTTCTTTAATTGTGTCTATAATTAAAGAACAATAGGTTGACGGTACTCAACGAGTTAATGTTAAATACTAAAAGTTAAAATTTCCGTTGCATAATAATTGAACAATAAAACTATTTTAATTTTGTATTGCAGTTACTCGGCATAATTTTTGCTCTGCTTCTGGCACGTAGTATCCGCAAACTGAAGAGTGCAAGGGGTTTGCTCGCGTGGAGAATACGAGAGCGCGTTATCGTTTCACGACAGGCTGAAGAAAAGCAGCAGCAATCACAGCAGAGTGACGCAAACCAAGTGCACATCGAACCACAATTATCAAGCACTGCATAAATTAAAACAATACCAATATTATAATTAGGCTTCTAAGGCTATTTTTTGCACTTACATTTAGAGTGGTCTATCCTATGAAAGCTTATAGCGTTACCGCCTTAGCATAATAGACTATCAGATGTTAACGACATTTAAAAGTACTCAAATGGTGTTTAATAAGTGATCGCGAATAGGTAGGCTATTCTGATTTTGATTCATTGCCGCCAGCCAATCAGAGCGCCGAACGTGGTCTCGATTCGATTACTTTAAACGTAAAACAAACTTTAAACGTACTAAGGCCTCTGTATCTTTTTCGAACTTTGAATTTCGAATTGAGAGTTACAGAATAGCCTAACTGAAATGTTGCTGATAATATTATAAGACTTGAAAGGACACATATATATATAGGTGCATATCACTTCAATATAATCTTAGTATTGAAGTGTTCTGAAAAGTCGTTGCAACGACTATGAAAGATAAGCACGTTACAGCATTTAGGTGCTTGACTTTCGGTAGGTTTGTGGTCCGTCGATTTCAATAGATGGCAGAACGTCAGAGAATGCCTGGAGTCATTTTTTTTTAATGGGACAAGCCCGCCACAACCTCCCAAAACCGCTGCAACTCCTGTAAGCCAGGATCTACAGTAGATACAACCATGAAAACACCGGAACATTGAAGTCCGGCGCGTCCCAGGGACATGAGTAACTGTCTTGGTTCCCGCAACGAAATGAATCAGAAGATATTATAAGAGGAGAAGAAGAAAAAATGCCTGGAGTCAGACATGAGTATAGAAAGACCACATAGTTAAGGCTTTGACTGCCAATAGAAAATTATTAAATGCAAATCCTACACTAACGTCGGTCACCGGTGACCCCATGGCGTTTAATGTGTTAACATAAAATCGATTTTAAGTTAACTGAAATCACGCAATGCGAAAAACCTCTTCAGATTTTGCTATTTGCTAGCGGAAAATTTTTCGAACGTCGTCGTTTAAATTCAAATTACTTTTTATATAAAAGGTTGGTGCAGATGCTATGTCAAGCGATTTTAATATGGTATATGAATTTAAATATTAAAATTAAAATAGACTAAATCTATACTAATATTATAAAGCTCAAGAGTTTGTTTTTTTTGTTTTATCGCGCTAATCTCCAAAACTACTGGTCCGATTCGAAAAATTCTTTCTGTGTTCATCATCATCATCAACAGCCTATAAATGCCCACTGCTGAGCAAAGCCTCTTCTCACACGGAGAAGGTTAGAGCGTTAATCACCACGCTTGCTCAATGCGGGTTGGCGATTTCAAACTTATAATTAGAAATTATAAGTCCAGGTTTCTTCACGATGTTTTTCCTTCACCGTTTGTCAGTGTTGGATCAGATGTCAGTTCTGTGTTGGATATCCCATTTATTGAGGAAGGTTATAGGCTATAAAATATCACGCTACGATTAATAGGCGCCGAGCAGAGCGAGTGAAACCGCACGGAAGTAGCTAGTAATTCATAAACCAGTAATAATAGAGGATTATTGGTAGATATTTTTTGTTCTATGTCTCTTATTAGGTACCTGATGTCCACATGTGGGGACATGACGCTTATAAAAGAAATAGAACACTCATAATTTTACGAAGCCTATGCGAACTGCAAGAATGCATTTTGATCAAGAAGGAAAGTTGTTGTGCCTATAAATGATGTTAACAATAGGCACAAACAGCTTAGCAAGGTTCTTAATGTTTTATCAATAATCCTTTATGTACCTATAAGTCTGTACCTATACAGGTATTTTTTTTAAGGGGGGAAAATCATCGAATGACTTCTCCCGCCTGGGTGAGGCGGGAGGGAGTGTCAGACTCTTACTGACTAAAAACCACCCCGTTCCTTCTCCTGCACGTCGAGTCGGAGCCCCGGTTACCCGTTAGGTTCTCCGCGACACCTATACAGGTATGGGAGAGTCATGCTTCGGCACGAATGGGTCGGCTCGACCGGAGTCATACCACGGCCTCACTGAAAACCGACGTGAAACAATACGCTTGCGTTATGTTTCGTCGTGTGAGTGAGGTTACTGGAGGCCCAACAACCCCC